AATACGTTGCTTTTAATTTCTTGGTTAAAGAAAGTTTTTCTGTACAGAATATGAGTAACTGTTTACAGTTACTTTAATGTCCTTTAAAATACATTTTTCTATTTTGTGAATACTCTTTCTGTTTTTTCTCTCAGAGCCACACGCAGGTTTTAGAATAGCTTTCAACATGTTTGACACTGATGGCAATGAGATGGTGGATAAAAAAGAGTTTTTGGTGGTATGTATATTATGTGCTGCATTTTATCAATCATTAATATTGCTTACTTATATTTTTTGCTTTATTGGGAATACTGCCATAGAGGAAAGAGTGAAAAATTTATGCTTTTGCCTTTATTTAATAAAGAAGCATATATTCATGTACTTTGAACAATATTTACATTATAAAATATTAATTGTATTCAGTGCATAAGGATCCTTACAGTTGTTTGTACATTACCTAGCAGTTTGAAATGTATCAAATATTTTCCACTGGGTAGATAGCAGGCAGTTCTGAGATTATATATGCCCAGTTAATATTCAGTCCCCATCATAACAGCCACCCAGTGACAACTCCCTCCATAGGAACTTCTCTTCCTTCTCAATATAGGATTCATGATTTTTCTTTTTCCTTTTTTCTTTCACTTACTACTACCTCGTATTCCAGTCCTGTCCCCACTTCCTTGTTCCTTTCTCCTTTCTTTGACCAAAGGATGGTAATTCTTAGGTATTTATCCTTTGATCTTTGTCGCCTGACTGGTTCAACATGGGTGCTGTTCTGACAAAGTCTTCAGCTGCTCACTCATCTCTCATAACTTCCCCTGCCCCCACTTCCAGAATTTTTCTCTTGTTTTACCCATGTAGCCTGCACCTGTATCTGTGACAATATGCCTAGTCTGTTGTTTCTCTGGAACAGAAATTAATTTATTCCATAGAGTAACAAGGTGTATCCTCAGCATTTATGTTCAACTCTGTCTTTACCTATACTCTCCTGGTAAAAGGAAAGAAGAAAGATGGCACATAAATAGCCATTTCATTTTCTACTTTTGTTTACTAACCTAGCTATTAAAAATTCCCCAGAAAACCTCCGAAAGCATTTCATATTTACTTCAGAAGTTGAAAAACAGAAGAAATCTATAACATCATTCTTTTCCATAATAAGAAAGAGATAAAAATCCTCATCAAAAGCTAATTAGTATCCAGTCAGAGGGAAGCAAGCAGACTAATTACTGGGACTTAAAAAAAGCTTAGGCCGGGTATGGTGGCTCACGCCTGTAATCCTAGCACTCTGGGAGGCCGAGGCGGGTGGATCGCTCAA